CCTGCCATCGCCTAGGCTACCCACCACCACAGCAAAGAGACTCCGCCTCAACAGAGGCGGGCCACCATCGCCAAAGCAGTTCTAACTGCACCCATATAAACAGGACTGCAGGGAAGTTCACTCGGCAGCGTGGCGCAGCCCACAGCAGCTCAGCAAAGCTGCTATAGGCCGACAGTGACTAGGCTGCCTCCTTGCTGGGCTGGGCAGGTCTCAAGGAAAAAAAAAAGGAAGGCGGCAGCATAACGAAAACTCAAAAATAAAGTCCTAAATCCCTGAGACAGAGCACCTGGGAACAAAAAGCAGTTTATGAGTGCTGCTGCAGCAGACCTAAAAGTACCTGCCCAGCAGCTCTGAATGAACAACAACAGAGTTCGCAGCTCAACATTTGAGCTCCTATAAAGAAGAGACCGTCTCCTCAAGCAGCTCCCTGACCCCTATATATCCAAGAAGACACCTCATAAAGGAGAGATCAGATTGACACTAGGCGGGTATCCTTCTGGGACAAAGATAGCAGAAGAAGAAAACTGGTAACAACCCTTACTGTTCAGCAGCTGCTGCAGGTGAACCTCAGGCAAGCAGGGCCTGGAGTGAACCTCAGCAGACCTACAGCAGAGGGGCCAGGCTGTCAGAAGGAAAACCAAGAAACAGAAATAACCTCATCATCAACAAACAGAACGTCAATCTGAAAGATTTGAGACTCAATCTTAAAGCCAGCAACTACAAAGTCGACAGGTGGATAAATCCTTCAAGATGAGAAGAAACCAGCGCAAAAAGGATGAAAACACCCAAAACCAGAACACCTCTCCTCCTACAAGGGATCACAACTCCTCACCAGCAAGGGAACAAGGTTGAATGGAGAACGAGTGTGATGAAATGACAGAATCAGACTTCAGAAGGTGGGTAGTAAGAAACTTCTGTGAACTTAAAGAACATGTTCTAACCAAATGCAAAGAAACTAAGAACTTTGAAAAAAGATTTGACGAAATGCTAACAAGAATGGACAAAATAGAAAGGAATATAAGTGAATTGATGGAGCTGAAAAGCGCAACACGAGAACTTCATGAAGCATGCACGAGTATCAACAGCCGAATTGACCAAGCAGAAGAAAGGATATCAGAGGTCGAAGATCAACTCAATGAAATAAAACGGGAAGGCAACACTGGAGAAAAAAGGGTAAAAAGGAATGAACAAAGTCTCCAAGAAATGTGGGACTATGTGAAAAGACCTAATCTACGTTTGATAGGAGTACCCGAATGCGACAAAGAGAATGAATCCAAGCTGGAAAATACTCTTCAGGATATTATCCAGGAAAACTTCCCCAACCTAGCAAGGCAGGGAAACATTCAACTCCAGGAAATACAGAGAACACCACAAAGATATTCGTCAAGAAGAGCAACCCCAAGGCACATAATCGTCAGATTCACCAGGGTCGAAATGAAGGAGAAAATACTAAGGGCAGCCAGAGAGAAAGGTCGGGTTACCCATAAAGGGAAGCCATCAGACTCACAGAAGATCTCTCAGCAGAAACCCTACAAGCCAGAAGATAGTGGGGGCCAATATTCAACATCCTTAAAGAAAAGAACTTTCAACCCAGAATCTCCTATCCAGCCAAACTAAGCTTCATAAGTGAAGGAAAAATAAAATCCTTTGGGAACATGCAAGTACTCAGAGATTTCGTCACCACCAGGCCAGCTCTACAAGACCTCCTGAAAGAGGCTCTACACATATAAGGGAACAACAAGTACCAGCTCAACTAAAGGGCAAAACAGCCAGCTAGCACCAAAATGGCAGTATCAAATTCACACATAACAATATTATCCCTAAATGTAAATGGACTAAATGCCCCAATCAAAAGACACAGACTAGCAAATTGGATAAAAAGATAAAACCCACTGGGGTGCTGTATCCAGGAAACCCATCTCACATGAAAGGATACACAAAGGCTCAAAATAAAGGGATGGAAGAAGATTTACCAAGCAAATGGAGAGCAAAAAAAAGCAGCAGTTGCAATTCTCATCTCTGATAAATTAGACTTTAAAGCAACAAAGATCATAAGAGACAAAGAGGGACATGACATAATGGTAAAAGGATCAATGCAACAAGAAGAGCTAACTATTCTAAATATATACGCACCCAATACAGGAGCACCCAGATACATAAGGCAAGTTCTTAATCACTTACAAAGAGACTTAGACTCCCACACAGTAATAGTGGGAGACTTTAACACCCCATTGTCACCATTAGACAGATCAACCAGACAGAAAATTAACAAGGATATCCAGGACTTGAACTCAGACCTGGACCAAGCAAACCTAATAGACATTTACAGAACTCTCCACCCCAAAGCCACAGAATATACATTCTTCTCAGCACCACATCACACCTACTCTAAAATTGACTACATAATTGTGAGTAAATCACTCCTCAGCAAATGCAAAAGAACGGAAATCGTAACAAACAGTCTCTCAGACCACAGTGCAATCAAGTTAGAACTCAGAATTCAAAAACCAACTCAGAACCGCACAGCTTCATGGAAGCTGAACAACTTGCTCTTGAATGTTGACTGGATAAACAATGAAATGAAGGCAGAAATAAAGATGTGCTTCAAAACCAATGAGAATGAAGACAAAACATACCAGAATCTCTGGGACACATTTAAAGCAGTCTCTAGAGTAAAATATACAGCAATAAGTGCCCACATGAGAAGCAAGAAGAGATCAAAAATTGACACCCTGTCGTCAAAACTGAAAGAGCTAGAGGAGCAAGATCAAAAAAACTCAAAGTCTAGCAGAAGACAAGAAATAGCTAAGATCAGAGCAGAACTGAAGGAGATAGAGACACAGAAAACCCTTGAAAAAATCAATAAATCCAGGAGTTGGTTTTTTGAAAAGATCAACAAAATAGACCACTAGCCAGATTAATAAAAAAGAAAAGAGAGAATAACCAAATTGATGCAATAAAAAATGTTAAAGGGGATATCACCACAGATTCCACAGAAATTCAAACCATCGTCAGAGATTATTAAAAACAACTCTATGCACACAAACTAATAAACCTGGAAGAAATGGATAAATTCCTGGACACCTGCCTCCTCCCAAGCCTAAACGAGGAAGAAGTCGAAACCCTGAACAGACCCATAACAAGATCTGAAGTTGAGGCAGCAATTAAGAGCTTACCACCCAAAAAAAGCCCAGGTCCAGATGGATTCACAGCTGAATTCTACCAGACAAACAAAGAGGAGATGGTACCATTTCTTCTGAAACTATTCCAAACAATACAAAAAGAGGTATTCTTCCCAAATCATTTTATGACACCAACATCATCCTGATTCCAAAACCCGGCAGAGACTCAAAAAGAAAAGAAAACTTCAGGCCAATATCCATGATGAACATAGATGCAAAAATCTTCAATAAAATACTGACAAGCCGATTGCAACAGCACATAAAAAAGCTTATCCACCATGATTAAGTAGGGTTCATCCCGGGGATGCAAGGCTGGTTCAACATACGCAAGTCTATAAACGTAATTCACCACATAAACAGAACCAAAGACAAAAACCACATGATTATCTCAATTGATGCAGAGAAGGCCTTTGACAAAATTCAACAGCCCTTTATGCTAAAAACCATCAAAGAGCTAGGTATCGATGGAACGTATCTCAAAATAATAAAAGCTATTTATGACAAACCAACAGCCAAGATCATACTGAATGGGCAAAAACTGGAAGCATTCCCCTTGAAATGTGGCACCAGACAAGGATGCCCTCTCTCACCACTGCTATTCAATATAGTATTAGATGTTCTAGCCAGAGGAATCAGGCAAGAAAAAGAAATAAAGGGAATTCAAATAGGAAAGGAGGAAGTCAAATTGTCTCTATTTGCAGACGACATGATTGTATATCTAGAAGACCCCATCGTCTGAGCCCCAAAACTCCTGAAACTGATAAGCAAGTTGAGCAAAGTCTCAGGATACAAAATCAATGTGCAAAAATCACATGCATTCCTATACACCAATAACAGACTTAAAGAGAGCCAAATCAAGAACAAACTTCCATTCACAATTGCCACAAAGAGAATAAAATACCTAGGAATACAACTAACAAGGAACGTAAAGGACCTCTTCAAGGAGAACTACAAGCCACTGCTCAACGAAATAAGAGAGGACACAAACAGATGGAGAAACATCCCATGTTCATGGTTAGGAAGAACAATATTGTGAAAATGGCAATACTGCCCAAAGTAATTTCCAGATTCAATGCTATCCCCATCAAGCTACCAATGACCTTCTTTGCAGAACTGGAAAAAACCACATTAAACTTCATATGGAACCAAAAGAGAGCCCGCATAGCCAAGTCAATTCTAAGCTAAAAGAGCAAAGCGGGGGGCATCACATTGCCAGACTTCAAACTATACTACAAGGCTACAGTAATCAAAACAGCATGGTACTGGTACCAAAACAGATATATAGACCAATGGAACAGAACAGAGGTCTCGGAGGCAACACAACATATCTACAACCACCTGATCTTTGACAAACCAGAAAAAAAGAAGCAATGGGGAAAGGATTCCCTGTTCAATAAATGGTGTTGGGAAAGCTGGCTAGCTATGTGCAGAAAGCAGAAACTGGACCCCTTCCTGACACCTTACACTAAAATTAACTCCAGATGGATTAAAGACTTAAACATAAGACCTAACACCATAAAAACCCTAGAAGAAAATCTAGGCAAAACCATTCAGGACGTAGGTGTAGGCAAAGACTTCATGACCAAAACACCAAAAGCATTGACAACAAAAGCCAAAATAGACAAATGGGACCTAATCAAACTCCACAGCTTCTGCACAGCAAAAGAAACAGTCATTAGAGTGAATTGGCAACCAACAGATTGGGAAAAAATTTTTGCAGTTTACCCATCTGACAAAGGGCTGATATCCAGAATTTACAAGGAACTAAAACAGATTTACAAGAAAAAAACAAACAAGCCCATTCAAAAGTGGGCAAAGGATATGAACAGACACTTTACAAAAGAAGACATACGCGAGGCCAACAAACATATGAAAAAATGCTCATCATCACTGGTCATCAGAGAAATGCAAATCAAAACTACATTGAGATACCATCTCACGCCGGTTAGAATGGCGATCATTAAAAAATCTGGAGACAACAGATGCTGGAGAGGATGTGGAGAAATAGGAACACTTTTACACTGTTGGTGGGAGTGTAAATTAGCTCAACCATTGTGGAAGACAGTGTGGCGATTCCTCAAGGACCTAGAAATAGAAATTCCATTTGACCCAGCAATCCCATTACTGGGTATATATCCAAAGGATTACAAATCGTTCTACTATAAGGACGCATGCACACGAATGTTCATTGCAGCACTGTTTACAGTAGCAAAAACCTGGAACCAACCCAAATGCCCATTGACGATAGACTGGATAGGGAAAATGTGGCACATATACACCATGGAATATTATGCAGCCATCAAAAACGATGAGTTTGGGTCCTTTGGATGGATGAACCTGGAAACCATCATTCTCAGCAAACTGACAGAAGAGCAGAAGATCAAACACCACATGTTCTCACTCATAGGTGGGTGTTGAACAATGAGAACACATGGACACAGGGAGGGGAGCACTACACACTGGGGTGAGTTGGGGGGAAATAGGGGAGGGACGGTGGGGGTGGGAAGCTGGGGAGAGATAGCAAGAGGAGAAATGCCAGATGTAGGTGATGGGGAGGAAGGCAGCAAATCACACTGCCACATGTGTTCCTATGCAATGATTTTGCATGTTCTTCACATATACCCCAAAACCTAAAATCCAATAAAATAAATAAATGGGAGGGAAAAAAAGACTTGAACTACTGCAATAGAAAATATAAAAACATACTGTAATGTGGTTAAAAAATTAAATAAATAAATATAGGACTAATAAAGCTAATACTAAAAACAAAAGTTCAGATCTTAAGAAAGGAAACAGATAAAATGAACCATTAGGTAGCTCAGTGAAACATAAAAAGACATAGCACAAATATGGAAATTAAGAAATCACTGGAAAGGATCCAAGATGGCTGAATAGGAACAGCCCTGGAGTGCAGTTCCCATGGAGAATACAGAGGGTGAGTGATCACCACATTTCCAAATGTGTTTTTACTACCCACAGACCAGGAGATTCCCTGGCAGAAAAACACCACAAGTTTCCAGCATTGCTGTTTTATCTGGCACAGCAGATTTCCGCACAAAAACTCACACATATCTGGATGGCCCTTTCAACTGGTGCCTGGAATGCCTGGGAGACCGTCACCCATTCAGCTGAAAAAAAGAGGGTTGAAACAGGGAGCAAGGTGACCTGGCTCGGCAGGTCCCACCCCCACAAAGACCAGCAATCTGAAATGCTCTGGATTGAGAGTTTCACCACAAACACAGCTGGACTGTGCTGGACTTGGGACATTCTAGCTCTGTGGGGAGAAGGGCATCCACCATTACCAAGGCAGTCCACCATTACCAAGGCAGTCTGCCGTTACTGAGGCAATCTGCCAATTCTGAGGCAGTCTGCCATTACAGAGGCAGTCCACAATTACTGAGGCAGACTGCCAGTACTGAGGCAGTTCTAACCATACCTCTATAAACAAATCACAAGGAAGTTCACATAGCAGCTGGGCAAAGCCCATGCCAGCTCAGCAATGCCTCTGCTGACAGACTGTGACTAGGCTACCTCCTCTCTGGGCAGGGCATCTCTGAAAAAAGGCAGCAACATGTCAGGAACTTATAAATAAAGCCCCACTTTCCCAGGACAGACCACCTGGGGAACGAAAGACAGTTATGAGCTCAGCTGCAGCAGACTTAAACATACCTGCCCTGCAGCCCTGAATGGAACAATGGAGCTCATAACTCAGCACTTGAGCACCTATAAGGGACAGATTGTCTAGTTCAGCAGCTCATGACCCCCATATATCCAAAGAGACATCTCATAAAGAGCTCAGACTGACATCTGGTGGCTACCCTTCTGGGACAAAGATAACAGAAGAAGAAACTGGCAGCAACACTTACTGTTTTGCAGCCACTGCAGGTGATCCCCAAGCAAGCAGGGTCTGGAGTGGGCCTCCAGCAGTCCTACAGCAGAGAGGCCTGACTGTTAGAAGGAAAAATTAAAATCAGAAAGAAATAACTTAATCATCAACAAAAAGGAAGTCCACTCAGAGACCCCACCCAAAAGTCACCAACTACAAAGCCCACAGGTAGAAAAATCCACAAAGATAGGAAGAAACGAGCTCAGAAAGGATGAAAACACTCAAAACCAGAATGCCTCTCCTCCTCCAAGGGATCAAAACTCCTCACCAGCAAGGGAACAAAGCTGGATGGAGAATGAGTCTGATGAATTGACAGAAACAGGCTTCAGAAGGTGGGTAATAACAAGCTTCTCTGAGTTAAAAGAACATGTTCTAACCCAATGCAAAGAAACTAAGAATGTTGAAAAATGGTTTGATGAAATGCTAAGGAGAATAAACAACTTAGAGAAGAATATAAATGAATTATGGAGCTAAAAACACAAAACAAGAACTTCATGATGCATACACAAGTTTCAATAGCCAAATCAACCAAGCAGAAGAAAGGATATCAGAAATTGAAGATCAACTCAATGAAATAAAATGAGAAGGCAAGATTAAAGAAAAAAAAAAAAGAGTAAAAAGAAACGAACAAAGCCTCCAAGAAATATGGGATTATGTGAAAAGACCTAATCTATGTTCAATAGGTGTACCTGAATGGGATGGAGAAAATAAATTCAAGCTGGAAAAGACTCTTCAGGATACTATCCAGGAGGACTTCCACAACCTAGCAAGGCAGGCCAATATTCAAGTCCCAAAGGCACATAATTGTCAGATTCACTAGCGTTGAAATGAAGGAAAAAATGCTAAGCGCAGCCAGAGAGAAAGGCCTGGGTACCCACAAAGGGAAGGCCATCAGACTCACAGTGGATCTCTCAGCAGAAACCCTACAAGCCAGAAGAGAGAGGGGGCCAATATTCAACATCCTTAAAGAAAGAAATTTCAGATTAGAATTTCATATTCAGCAAAACTAAGCTTCACAAGCAAAGGAGAAATAAAATTCCTTATGAACAAGCAGGCATGCTTTACAAGAGCTCCTGAAAGAAGCACTCAACATAGAAAGGAACAAGTACCAGCCACTCCAAAAATGTACAAATGGTAAAGAGCATCAACACAAGGAAGAAACTGCATCAACTAATGGGCAAAACAACCAGCTAGCATCAAAATGGCAGGATCAAATTCATGCATAACAATATTAACCTTAAATGTAAATGGGCTAAATGCCCCAATCAAAAGACACAGACCAGCAAATTGAATAAAAAAATCAAAACTCATTGGTGTGCTGTATCCAGGAAACCCATTTCACATGCAAGGACACACATAAGCTCAAAATAAAGGATGGAGGTAGATTTACTAAGCAAATGGAGAGCAAAAAAAAGCAGGAGTTGCAATCCTAGTCTCTGATAAAATAGACATTAAACCAACAAAGATCAAAAGAGACAAAAAAGGACATTACATAATGATAAAAGGATAAATGCAACAGGAAGAGCTAACAATCCTAAATATATATGCACCAAATATGGGAGCACCCAGATACATAAAGCAAGTACTTAATGACTTACAAAGAGACTTAGACTCCCACACAATAATAGTGGGAGACTTTAACACTCTGCTGTCAATATTAGACAGATCAATGAGACAGAAAATTAACAGGGATATCCAGAACTTGAACTCAGATCTGGACTAAGCAAACCTAATAGACATTTACAGAACTCTTCACCCCAAATCCACAGAGTATACATTCTTCTCAGCACCAGATCACACCTACTATAAAATTGACCACATAATTGGAAGTAAATCACTTTTCAGCAAATGCAAAAGAATGGAAATCATAACAAAGTCTCTCAGACCACAGTGCAATCAAATTAGAACTCAGGATTCAGAAACTAACTCAGAATCACACAACTTTATGGAAACTGAACAACTAACTGGCTCTTGAATGTTGACTGGATAAACAATGAAATGAAGACAGAAATAAAGGTGTTCTTCAAAGCCAAGGAGAACGAAGACAAAGCACCAGAATCTCTGGGACACATTTAAAGCAGTGTCAAGGAAAATTGATAGCAATAAATGCCCACATGAGAAGCAAGGAAAGATCTAAAATTGACACCCTGTCATCAAAATTGAAAGAGCTGGAGAAACAAGATAAAAAAATCTCAAAATCTAGCAGAAGACAAGAAATAACTAAGATCAGACTAGAACTTGAAAAGATGGAGACACAAAAAATCCTTCAAAAAATCAATAAATCCAGGAGCTGGTTTTTTGAAAAGATCAACAAAATAGAAGCTAGCCAGATTAATAAAAAAGAAAAGAGAGAAGAATTAAATAGAGGCAATAAAAACAATAAAGGGGATACCACCACCATTTCCACAGAAATACAAACTACCATCAGAGATTACTACAAACAACTGTATGTACATAAACCAGTAAACCTGACAGAAATGGATAAATTCCTGGACACATGCAGCCACCCAAGCCTAAATCAGGAAGAAGTTGAAACCCTGAATAGACCAATAACAAGGTCTGAAGTTGAGGCAGCAATTTATAGCCTACCAACCACAAAAAAGCCCAGATGCAGATGGATTCACAGCTGATTTTTACCAGACCTACAAAGAGGAGCTGCTACCATTCCTTCTGAAACTATTCCAAACAATCCAAAGGGAATCCTTCCCAAGTCATTTTATGAGACCCACATCATCCTGATACCAAAACCTGGAAGAGGTCCACAAGAAAAGAAAACTTCAGGCCAATATTCATGATGAAAATGGATGCAAAAATCTTCAATAAAATACTGGCAAACCAATTGCAAAAGCACATCCAAAAGGTTATCCCGCATGGCACTGGTACCCAATCAAAGATATAGACCAAGGGAACAGAACAGGGACCTTGGAGGCAAAGTGACACATCTACAATCATCTGATCTTTTCCAAACCCGGCAAAAACAGGCAATGGGGAAA